AATCTATTCTAAGTTGGTTGGTCTCATAACCTGAAAGTTGTTGTTTGTTATGCTGGATTTTTGTTCTTCGTGCTATCTCAGGAAACAAGGGCATTGCTTGATAGTGCTCAGCTCCTCTACTAGTATCATGTAATTGTTAGTGTGGCATTACATGGTACTATAAGCAAGAAAGAATCCTTGACTCTCTTGTCAACGTTTATAGCATAATCTTCAATTGAAAGTTAACTATTTTAGCATTATTTGGTACTTTTAATGGTCTCTTACCTTTTGAAGCACTAGTGTCTATTCAGTTTATGCCTTTTAGGCTAACTGTTATAGTATGGATATTAGAGATTTTATAATTATACAAATGAACTGAGCTGGTGCCAGATTATATATATATATATATATATATATATATATATATATATATATATATATATATATATATAAATTGTCTACTCTTTGTTCAGATCCAAATCAGTTGAATTTGTGTGTGTGTACTTTTTATGGCTTTTCTTGAGAAAATTAAACTGCATTTAAATTACCTTTTAAGATTCTTTTGACTGAACTCTTGCAGAGAGAAACCAAATCATTTTTTTTTTTAAGTATTATATAATAATGGCTTAAAATTCATTTGTAGGGTCTACTCATGAATTTGAAAATACCAATTCCTAACTAATCAAAGATTTTATCCTTGTTCACAATTTTGTTGTTAATGGATTTTCAAGCTGTAAACACTCATGGGTCGATTGATGTGCCTGAGTAAGCTGTTTTCAAATGACACCGTTGTACATTTAATTATCACAGGGAATCTGTCTGCTGTGTATGACTAGAAATTGTCTCCTAATTGCTCTGCCCCACTCCATTCTATTGTCTCGTTATGTTTATCAATTATTAAAGTTGTAATTGACTAAATTTGGAAGAGTATTTCTTGTTATTAATATTCATTATTTTCCTTTCAGTTTTATTAGAAAATTCATTTATTTGATGTTGTTAATCCATTTATACCATTTGCTTCTTCAAGCAGCTCAACATTTCAAGCCATCATTTTTCTCACTATATCTTAGACTTTCTCTTTCTTGTTAATTTACTTTGTCATATAATTTTATATCTTCTCAGAGAAAGCCATATTTAACCAGCAATCAAACATGTCAATCAGAACATGTGTCCTGGGTTTTTATTGATTTAAACTCTTCTTGTTTACATATAAAAAGGAAAAGGTTAAAATCCACTTAGTGTTTCCTCTTGTGCATTATTGTATCACCAGCAGACTTTTGAATGTGTTTCTAAAATGGGATAAATATTTTGCAGAATTTTGAATTCAATTAAATGCATGTATAAATCATATCTTATTGGATGTGTTAATGCAGTTTTTAGTTTCAATTCACTGATATCCATTCATGAAACCAATACTCCCACCTCCTTATTTTTTTTCTTTCAAGTGTTTAGGTGTTGAACACTGAATAGTCTTGTTGGCTCTGTGAATGAATCTCTTTCTACAACTATTTATTTGCCATTTTGATGATTTCTTACTGGATTTCTTTGCAAGGAGCTTTCATCACAAAGTAGTCATTTTTTTTCCCCCCTTTCTTGCCAATGTTCTCTCTCTCTCTCTCTGATAATATTAGAACTTTTTATTTCCCTATTTAGGACAACTCAGACAGCTTTTCTGTGCAAATGATCATTTGATTATAAAAGAATTAACAATATCGGAAATTTCTTTCTTTCCTTTTATTCAATTAACATTCAATTCATATTTCTCATATCGTATATCACTGCTTGAAACTTGAGAAAACTTAATACCCAAAAGAAATTTATTTTACCATAATTTCTTTCAAAATGTACAAATTGAATGCTCTGAAGAATTTAATTTTTGTTTTTAGCCTTTTCACATAGATCTATCTGTTTTTTGAGTTTTTTTTTTTTTGTTTCTTTTAATGAATATTTTACTTCTATATAATATCTAGGTAGGCTAAGTTCAATTTCATGAACTTATTACTTAAACTTCTCATTTATAATTTCTAAGCAAAAATCATTTGTCTATTGAAAGCTCATTCTCTTTATATATATATATATATAGTTTATATTGTTTTCACTTACAAAGAAAGAATAAACTAATTTTTTTTATGCCAACACTGTTTTTTAGCCTCCCTATATATATTTCTTCTTCTTCAATATTATCTGTTTGGGAGGTGCTAAATGGTTAGTTTTGTTGGTTTTGGTTTACAAGAATGAGTATAAGATAGCCTGAATCTGTATTAAAAATTAATTAGTTATTCCTTGGCAACTTTATATTTGCATAACAACTTCTTACCAACTCATCAGATAATATTATTAAACGCTTTTCTTTTATTCTTTTCACCTGTAGTTTAACAGTTTTACTGTCCATGACAGTTTGTTTCATGTTGTCATGTCTTAATTGGATCTAATCACGTTTGTACTGCTTTAGGCATTGGGAATACTTTTTTCTTGTACCTTTCTTTGTCTTTCTCTTAAGTGTTTGAATTCTTTCAAAAGGTTTTTCTTTTTATCTCTGTAGCAAGCATATTCATTGTAGGAAGTTAGCATCCATGAAATGTATTAACAGGATGTTTATTCTTGGTTGTTTTCCAACAGTATGGAAAAGCTAATAGTGCCAACTGGTAGCCATCAAAGAGCTTGATCTGATGCTGAAGTAGCCACTCTGCCATTTGTTTCTTCATCATTCTACCAATTGTCTTTGTTGTCCATGACTTTTCGTGCTGATGTGACTTTGTCTATTAATCTACAACTTCTTTCCTTAACTTTTTTATTTTTGACATTTCTAACAGAATTGGCATAACTACTGTTATCTTTTTGTCTATACAAAGACTTTTATGAGCTTCCTACTAAAAAAAAAAATCATTATTTTGGCTGATGAATTAAATATGAATTGATTTTAATTTCAGTGTATTCAAATTATTTTTAATTTAAAAAATCTTAAACTCTTTTGTGTAAATATCTTTTTAAAGAGTTGCTTATGACAATTTTTCTGTGTTGGGAGATTGATGTTATTAAAATGCTTTCTCAAAAACAGGCAGCCATTTTAAAGTTTTGATATTTTTATTATTTATTTCAAAGAATTTGTAGTTGAATAAAAATAGTCAAATGCATAGATATAAATCTGTAGATATTTTCTTTAGCAAAAAAATAAATAGTTGCAGTGTTATAATGATTGCAAATATTTTAATAACATATTTAATTATTACTTAAGTGTTTCAAACTTTCTAAATAATTTCTACTTGTCCAATATGGAATGGTTCTCATTTTCTACATTTTTGTTCTTCAGCACTAAACGTTAAAATATTTAAAAAAAAATGTATTGAAATAGTCTTGTAAAAGTAACCTTCATTTGTTGATTTTGTTAACTTTTATACTGTATTGATTTTAACATTATTTATAGCAGTTATCATTGTATCTCAAAGATCTTCTTTCTTTGTATATTGTTTCCTAATTGCCTATGCATCTCTTTTAATGATGGATCACAAGTTTTCTATTGGTTTAATATCTGGAGAGGCTTGAGGCCATTTAATTAATTTGGTGTTTTTGAAACCCTTTTTAGCAAGGTGGTTAATAGCCAATTTTGCTAAATGTAAAGAAATATTGTTTTGCATGAATATACTCTTTAGTTTAAAGTTGCTTCATTGTTACCTGTATCACGTAAAAAAATGTTTTGTCCAAGAACTTAAAATTATTAATTGCTTTTTATCATCAACTTTGATGAGCGTTAAAAAATTACTTCCTATAATACTGGCACAAAACATTACCCCCACTACCCCTTTGTTATCTTCTAAATAATCTTGGTTGACTTATTTCCATGAAGGACTCAACGTCTAGTCCATTAGTCAGGTCCATCCAATGTAGCTCTATATTCATCACCAAAAATCTGTTGAGAAATCAGTTTTCATGTACTTCTTTTCCAAAATGACACACTTCTCTTTGTGATATGTAACTACAGGTGGTAGTTATGTTGTTTGCATGTCTTTAACCAATGTTCTTAATATTCCTCAAATTTTCTCTCAGTGTACATTTAAAATACCAGCTTTTTCAAATATTTTATTGATTATCAATTCATCATTATTACCTTTTTAATTTTTATCAGATCTCTGAAGTTCTTAAAGCCAACTTTATTTTATTTTTCTTTGACTTGTTTAAATCTTTTGCAATTTCCAGCATTGCATTCCCATCACTTAGTTACTGTATCTTGTTTCTGTTGAGGTTGATTCATGATAATCTTTACAAATCTGAAATTAAAAATAGATATCTACAACTATCCTATTATATTTACTTACAATATGATGGGACAACCATTGAATTTCATAACATAATTACACCTCACACTGCCATGTTATTGAAAATATTTTCCAATAAAAACCTATTGAAATATTTAGCATATAAATATATAATGAAAATTTTAATAATATTGATTTGAAGTAAATCAGTTTCATTGTAAAATATAAACTTACCTAATAAAATCTAGTATAATGTTCTTGCAGTAAATCATTTTACTGGAAAGATATTATTTAATAAACATCCTCCTCTGAACAATACCAATATGAACCATTTACAAGTCAGTTTTATTTTACTTAATTTTTATACTCATTTTCAGTGTTTGCAATATATTCTACCTAATTTTTACAGCCAAGAAACAAGAAAAAGGTTACTGTGGACTTCTAGTGAGAGAACTGCTTTTTATGCACTTAATTGTACTGTTTATACCACAAAACTTTTGGTGGCTTTGTTGCCTTGGTGAAATTTTTTTATAAATATTTACCACTTTATAAAAATCTTTTTAGTAAACACAAAATGGAGTTAATTTTATTTTGTTAGTAATCAGATTTAAATAATTTTAAATTCTTATTTACTATTTGTGCATCTAATGAACTTTGATCAACAAAATCTGGTTTATATGAATTTTTCTTTTTTTTATTTTTTTTCTTTTGATCAATAAATTGTAAAATGTTGCTAACATTATTTTTAATCTTTCTGTTTCTTTCCAGTGCTTTTGGAATTGCCTCTAAATGTATGATGCCTGCATTCCGGATGCACCTGCGGGCCCATGGTACCCCTGCCAAAATCTTTACTGCTTTGCATGATGCCTCTACTAACCCTGTAAGTTATTTTTTATATATATATATATATGTATATATATATATATATCTACAAGTTGTTTGATGCATTTATATATTTGGAGATGCAGTCAAGAAGATGACTCTTTGCTTATTTGTTAAAAGTAAACAAAGCACTGATGTTCTAGAAATCCTATTTATATCATTTATTTATTGGAATTGGTAAATATTCCTTAAAGACTTTGGCAGAAAGTAATTTTTCCTTTTTCTTCTTACTAAATGTAACTGCTTTTTGCTTGTACACTTATCAAGCTTCTTTTTTTTTTCTTTTTTTTTTGTAGAAGAGTTCCTGGTCAGTCATTCTAAACCTGATTCTGATTTAAAAACTAAGTCCTTGATATTAAAAATGACCTGTTAGTAATATTTCTCTATAATGTGGCATGAAAAATTTTATATTCTAATTGATAGCATATAAAACCCAATTCTTTTTTTTTTTTTTTTTTTTTTTTTTTTTAAATGTCTCGAAACATATCCCTTAGGATATATAAAAGATAAGATATCTGCTAGTTTTACTCAAGTTTTGTAGATGAGTGGTACTTGTACCTAGTCCATCTCCATAGTGCTATAATATTAAATGTAAATTCGGTGTCATATATGCTTCCAATTAGTGATTTTTTTTTTATATATATTTTGGTGACGGACATGCATGAATAAGAAAAACATGCAAACAGATTTTTATGTATTAAATTGCTAAGCCTCTTTAGAAGTCAGCAGGAACTAGTGTGACTGATTTACCATGAAAAATAACACCCTGAAGCTAAAAGTCTCATTTCATAAGTAATGGTAGTAGATGCAGCAGCACTTTTAAATAGCAACAAATAACCCCAAAAAAAAAAAAAAAAAAAAATTGGAGGAAGAGAGAGATGGAGGGGGGGAGAAAGATGTAGTTATTTTTTTACCCCCACCTAATTTTGTTTCTTTACACTCTGCAACTATATTAAGTATATTTTAGTATTGTTTCTATTGGTATGTCAACTTTTGATAACAAAATCAACCAAAAACAATATCATCCTTCATTATTTTTACCCATTTGCTGTATGCCTGTTTGTGTGTGTATGTATATGTATGTTTGATTCTTCATGTTGAACCACATTTGAATTCTAATCAACTCCATTTCTCTCCAAACTCATAAACATCTCTGTATTTGTAAGTTACAGTCAGTTGCAAACATCATTTAATTTGATCTGTGTTGTAACAATATGCATTTTATGCATTTCATTTAACACTGTCAGGTAGAGGGAACAGAGAGAGAGACAGAGACCAACAAAAGAAAAAAAAAATGATACCTTAATGTTGATACAGCACTGCTGAAAACATTTTCAATGGAAATTATGAAGTTCTCTTTGAACATTTAAAGAAAGGAAAAAAGAAAAAGAAAAAAAAAACTATATAAAAAAATATAGGAATAATTTGGGGGTTTGGTATCTATGGGTAAAGGTTAGTAGGCTAAACTAGTAGACTATTACAAATAGATACTGACTTTAACTCTCACTACATACTGTATAATTGTGATTTTGTAGCAAAGCTAAGCTATAGAATATCTTCATTCCTTGTTTTAGGAGAAAGTTTTTGATAATTATAAATTTCACAATAAAAAAAATAAAAATAAAAAAACTTACATAAAAAATTACCTTTTTTTTTTTTTTAATTTTTAGATTGTTTTTGCTGCTGTATTTATTTTGTGGATTATAATATAAAAGAAGTAATTTTTCTATTTGAGGGTGAACATTTCAAGCAAGATGCTTAGAATTAAATATCTAAAACAAAAAAAAATAAATAAAGATCCTCATAAAAACAAGAAAAGAAAAATAACCCAACCCTAAAAGCAATAGGAATAATCTCTTAAAGAGGCCGAATATTAAAATTCAGGCTGAAAAAGCTGGGTTTCAAAAATAGTTAAAATAAAGAATACAAAGGAAATGAAGTGATTGCTACCCTTGTTAATTACGTAAGTTTAAGTGAAAATTGTTTTATTATCAAGCTGTCTATCTAAAAATAACATTGTATAATCGATAAAACCTACTGAAAATGTTTGGATTTAATTCATTGATGCCAGTGTAGCTGAGATGGTTAACATTGTCCATATCTGATGGACTGCTCTTATTTTGAATGTCATTGTTGATTTCATTTTTATTTTAGTTTTACTTCATACAAGCATTATTATATTGAAACAATTAAAAATATACTTCAGCAAATTGGGGAATTGTTTTGCATTTATTCCTTTTTCTTTTCTCTCTCTCTCCAAGATTCTCAACATTGTGACCTTGACATTGCTTTATAATCAATGGTTGGTTGATACCATAGAGTAAAAAAAATTCTGTTATGAGACTTTTTGAAACAAAAATAGCATTAATAATAATGGTAATAACCAAACATTCAAGCTTAAAGAATTTTTGGAGTTGGATTTTACAGAATAAGACCTAAAGGTTATTTGATTTTTTTTTTTCTTTTAACTTTATCTCTAATATTTTCATGCCTAATTATTATAAGACCTGTGTTAAGAATTTATTTATTAATTGTAAAGTGGCTTAAATATATATATATATATATATATAGTTCATTTCTACCATTGTTGGATTTTTCTTGATTTCAGAATTAAGACTTTTGAGGGTGGGTGGGAGAGATCCACCATTTTTATAAAATGGTAACTTTTACATATGATTCCTACCTTATTTGGAATTTAAGTTATGCAAAGCATTTCATCATCATTATAATTGTGTCAGTATAATTTGTTTTAAATTATAGTTTATGATTTGATCATTTATATTTCATGTTCATCTTTATCTCAGAAAACAAGCAAAATGATGAAAATCTAAAGAAAGCATTCATTTGTTGCTTCTGATAATCATGTTGATCAAATTTTAAAAACTTTTTAATTGAAACAATTAAACTAGATGGATGAAGTGGCGAGTTTTTTTGTTGTTTTGTTAATAGAATCTGTACAGACAGTTTTGTAATCCCTTTTTTTCCCCCACAAAATTGACATGTATTTTTGGAGGGGGTGGAAGTAAAATTCTTCTATGAGAATAAGTAAAAAAAATAAATAAAAAAAAAGGTAAAATCTGATATTTAATTATAATACTGATATTTTTTCAGTTTATTTTTGTGTTGGTTGAAATATAATAGTTATGTAAAAGATTGTCTCTCTTCGTTTGTTATACACAAAATGTGTCATGCTGCGATTTCAGTTTTCTTTTCTTCCGCACAGAACAACTGAAATATGAATGACCAAAAATGACATGAGTCTGAATATTGCCCACAATGACAAAAGTATATTCCAAAAATGAAAACACTGTCATGATGAACAACAATTTAGTGTGCAATAGTTTAAAAAATTGTTATATTTATAGATGTTTATTCATTTGTTTCAATAAAAAAAAAATTAATCTGTTTTTGTTTGTTTATTTGTTTAAGGAGCTATATTTCTTTGCATTGTCTTTAAACACTGTGTTTGTTTCAATGTAAAGAATGTTCGCTAAAAACAGCCCTTTTCCAAATTTATAGACAAATCCTACAGATGCATGCTGGGATTTCTTCCTAACCAATAAGCTGGGGTATTTCTCAGTTTCATCCACCATATTTTTGTTTTTTCTTGTCTTGAAGTCAGTACGCTACAGTCACTTGACTGTATCTCTTTTGTGTGTGAACTTTTTGTGTTGTTACACTTGCTTTGCCTTATTTTGACTAGCATATATATTGTTTGCTTAGTATTATTTTATCCTGTTATTTTTCTTCTTTATTGTTTATTGGAAACTTTATCAGTTCTATTTGTTGGGCATTTTTACCAATTACATTTAACTGTGATCAATTACACTACACACCAATATTTTCTTTACTAAAATATTTCATGAATCTTGCTTTAATTTTTCAAAAGCTTCCTTGTATAGTGCCCATATTTTAGTTGGCAATTGTAGGATGAACCATCTTGAAGCACTATCCTTACTAAACCCCACTAGTTAGTCTTATGTCAACAAATGTGCAGTGGAATAAAATTTACTGAGTCTCATGTTTACATCTTTTATTACACTTATTATTTACATTAGTTTCTTCTCACAAATCAAATGTGTGTTTGTACTTATCACTCTGACATATTTATTACTTTTTAGTTTAGCCCGAAGAATTTGCAAAGGCATGTACAAGGTTAGAAAGTAAATTACTATCAGATTAAGTTAGGGAAATCTTAAAATAGGTTAGCATAAACCATCATTAACAATTACCTTTCCAATCCTTTTAGAATGAGTTCTTTGTAAAAAAAAAAAAATTCTCCTATGTTGATTAAATTTTCATTTCTCTGTACAAAAATCAAAATTGGACACACCTACATAACCCACTCCTTCTTCCTAATAAATGAAGACCCTCTAAAATGCCAAGAAGTACTCACTGTCAAACATTTTTTGATTAACTGCAAAAAAAGTGGCTCCTATACGAAAATACTTCTAGAATGTACCCAAACTTAGAGCCTTTTTTGAGAGTGTCAAACCCAAAACCATTCTAGAATTTTTAAAAGTAACAAAACTCGACCCCAAAATATAAAAAGGAAACTGAATAAACACCTGGCTAAAAAATGCAACTAAAACTGAATTTCATCCACACCTTTATATAACAATGCCTTATAAAATAATTTGTCTGCAAAATAAAACACAAATCTTAAAACTACCGGATTTGACGCAAAATGAACCTTGGGGTTGGTGTAGCTGTAACATAACTCATCTAAATCACTTGTGTTTGATATTAGATTAATTCACTCCACAATGCATATTCTGAATACAAAATCTTCCAACTACCGATGAAATTACAATAACATACATTTAATTAATTTATAAAGAATATGTACTTTTTATTGTATGTTATAAATGTACAAAAAATGCATTGTTTTATTCATTTTTCTTCTCGTTTTATGATTTTAAATTATCAACTTTAAAGGCCAATGAAATTCTCTCTTCTTTCTAGTGCCATGTTGATTAGTTCTCCATCATGGCATTT